ACATTCTGGAGAAGGTCATGTTCCGTTTCAGCCTGAGACACAGGGCTGACTCACTGTCCTTGTGTTTCTGAAAAACATCATTAATCTGTTCTAACTTTTTCTGTTCTTAGGGAAGAGCCCCTTTTGTGCAGTGCTCTTTTAGCTACTTACCTGCTTTGTGTTTCTACAGTGACCAGGAGTGAAGGGAAAATATTAGATCATGTCAGAGTTCTGGCTAATTTCCGCCCCAGGAGATAAAACAAATCTGCAGGCATGGGAGAGAATGAACACGGTGACATCTAAATCCAACCTGTCCAGCAACAGCAAATTCCATATTCCAGACTTAAAGGTAAATGAGGAACGGGTTTGTGTAAGGGCAATACAGCAGCATTAACCAGGGCTAAAGACTTTTGGGATAAATGTGGGATTTATCTTTTGGGGTAATATGCAGAGAGTAGAAGAAGATTGCAGGCAGGCGATGGGTTGTGTTCAGTCAACTGAAAATTGATCAGAGAGAAAAGAACTCATTATGCTTGAAGCTGACCTTCACAGTGGGAGGATATATGTATAAGGAGTGAAGATGACCAGTTAAATAGCTAATCTATTGCATTCAATGTACCTTTTGCTCCCAGTCATGAAAGTCATACAGCATTGTATGTCTTGGCTCACAATGCAAAGGGAGCAGCCAGTAAGACTGCTGACAGAGAAAACAGCGCTATAATGTACATTACTCCTTGGGAAGTGGATGTGTGTGTGTCTTCAGCTACATTACCCAGCTTCATATTGTCATATAAATAGGAAGAATATTAATGCATGGGGTTTTTTTAATATCTTTGCATTATTTAATCCTTATTTTATAAGATCTGCACCTTATTTTTATTTCACTTGTGGATTTGAAAAATCCAAATATGCTGCATTAAAGTCAATGGAGTTACCACAGATGTAGAACTTGGTTCTTTGGGGAGTTGCCATCACCCATCACTTAATGAAGCTACTCTTAGTACGAAGCTACTCTTACTGCATCCGGGTGTGGTGGTTTGCCACTTTGGCTTTAATCCAAAAAGATTGTTAACAGTTATAACTTGAGCTAGCCCAATTAGATAAGGATGCAAGTAAAAGGGGAGTGTGGCCTGGTCTCAAGTAATAACCTACTGAACCGTCACATGAATGTTTCAGACTGGGAGTGTTGCTTTTTGCATGTGCACCTGAGATTGATACGATTTTTACCATCTATGGGCCTTACCCATCCAGTGTTGGTGTGAGTCTGCTAATGTCAAAGGAAATAAAGCATCTGCAGTATCTGAAGATGCAACCAGCCCATTAATATTCTGCTAATTTTTCTGTGTAAAATTTCTTTCTTCTCCTTCAGCTTGACCCTTCCTAATGTTGAGCTGGCAACGTTACTAGAAAAGGTTTGGCAATATATTGCAATATCATAAACACAAGATTATGACTGTGACAGAGTCATACAAAAAGCAGATGTTGGTCTTGGAGGAAATGGCTTTGTGAGAGCCTTAGTCTTTGGTAATAGCAAAGAATGCAAACAGAGGCACTTTTTTGACTAAGTGCTGCTTCCCTTGGTTCGTTCAATACATCAGATTTGCTTGTGTGTGTATTGTGTGCATTTCTGGTCACTATTTTATCATGTAAAAGACCAGTCTATGCTGCTTGATGATATGGGAATGAAAACAGGAAGACAGACATTGATGTGTAATCTTGAGACTACACATAGGTTTTTTCCTTTATTGGAAAAGGCTTTTTATGCTCTAGGTCTTGGATAAAGGAATTGCTACTATTTTCCACTAAGTAAATAAAGTTCCACCAAACTATTGAATTCAGAAGTGCTGAACACAAGTCGGTGTCCCTAAGACTCTGCCAACAGAAGCCTTAGACAGACTTGTGCATCTTTCACCTACTTCTCATCTTTTGCACAGGTGGGGACACTGGATGCTCTTGTTGGTCTGTCAGATGAGTTGGGAAAACTTGATAGCTTTGCTGAAAGGTAAAATAGATCTTATTTACTACCTACAAATGAGAAACAGACATTGTTTTTATGGGGCGGTATGTCCTTGTGTTCACCTCAGTCTGACTCAGTTCAGCCTGGACTACAACTGGACTAAAGTGGGTAGGCTTTGTTTAACCCTTGCGTTGATTGTCATGGAGTCATCACAAAGAAAAGACCATTCCTCTAGATTTGGATGAATTAAGTCAGTGATAGTTTTGTCTGCTCAACAATCTGTTTGAGTGGCAGTGCTAGGCAAGCTGTTTCTCAAAGGGAAACTGCTAAAAAAGGTTCTTTTTTTTTTTTAAAGAACATCATCCTGCCCCATCCAGAAACTTAAATTAATAAAATGACATTTGGTGAATATGAAGCCCTTCCTGATCTTATCTTCCCGGAATACTTCTCTTGAGCCTTCTGCCCCTTTTCAACCAGATAGATATAGGAGTTCTAAGGAATAAGTTTTTCTGAATGAAATCTGGAACTCTCCCTCTCAGACTTTTAAACTCCTTGAAAATCAGAATATTGACTCACATTGTATCAAACCTACTTATGCAAAGACTCACGTGATCTCCTTGCTGATCATTGCCCAGATTGCCTTTTGGGCCAAACTGGGCTGGTTGTACAAAGAACAGTAAGTACAGCAAGCTGAGAAAATGTCAGGTTGTAAGATACTTCATGGCACAAAGTAGACTTTGTTGTCGAGGCAATGAAAGTATAAGCTGCTGGGTTGTGGTTGGGGTTTTTTTTTGTTTTGGGGTGGGTTTTTTTTCTTTTTTCTTTTTCTTTTTTTTTTTTTTTTCCTTTGGAAGTATACCTCACATATAGCTGTGGTCTTGGTCACAGAGGCATATGTTAGCTCTGGGGCTTTTTGCCTTTTTTCCTGCAGCCAGGACTGATAAGGATTTGCTTGTCTAAATATGCTTGATACTTTCATAGATTTTGTCCGGCAGTTGCAAACACATACTGAAACACTGATATAAACTGTTTACATCTATGCTAAGAGGTTTGGGTAAAAGTAAGTCTGCTAGAATACATTTCTCTGTAGGATTTTTTTTTTTCCTATTTTACTAGTGCTACAGCAGGGCTGTATTAGGATGATCATGTTTGATCACTCTGGGTGGCACACAATGTTGATCTTTATAGAATCGTAGAATATCTTGAGTTGGAAGGGACCCATAAGAATCATCAAGTCCAACTCCCTGCTCCTCACAGGACTACCTAAAACTAAACCATATTGTTTTTTTCGGGATTTTTAGCAGGACAGAGCAACTTAATACTTAATTCATCAAGAAAACCTTCTTCATTGTTACCTTGCCAAGAAAACTGCCCCATATTCTTTGTAAACATGTTCAGGCCTCTGGTTTGTACTGTAGAGATTCTTCATGAAGTGGGGATGGGGGCAAATTTGGGGAGAGACAGTGCCAGTATCTGCTATCTGTTCTAATGGAAGGTGTCTCTAGTCAGGGCAGCAGATAGGCAAGCAACTGTGTGATCTGGGTTTAAGGGCTGCGAAAAATCACGCAGAACTGAATTTTATAAGGGCTTAGCTAATTCCCATCTTTGTGAAGAATTAGGACTTCTGAAAAGCCGTCTGTAGGATCCATGTACAATCATGGTGGCTAATTTTAAGTGAAGTGTCAGTATGAGCTTCCTAAGCTTACTGTCTCCTTCTCTTACCTTTGTCTTAACTTGACAACGTGGTACAGCTCCTTGTTTAAGCTGAATGCCACTTTACTCCACTAATTGTCCCTTTAATGCCAGTAGTGGCACCTACTGTATGACATGCTATAGGCGCCGAGCAAAGGGGTCAGCAAGGCCCCTCCACCATAAGCTACTGAGTTAAGGACTCTCCCTACTTGTCTTGTTTGCCTATCCATCTAGGTAATCAAGAAGAATCAACAAGATTTAAAAATAACAAAAATGTATTAAAAAATAAGAAAAATGCATTCAAGTAGAGTAATAGCAGAGAATAATCAACACAGATCAAGTCCCACAAGGACGTACAAAAGCATTTTGCATTAAATAAATGCCCAGGGTTTTGAGTCTAAATTGTGATTCAAGGGTTAAAATGCCAAGCACTTGCACTTCGTTGAAGTAAATGGCATCTAGAGGGTTACAAGCCTGTTCAAATGACCTGAACATTTATGTGTCTGCTCCTCTGAAACAGCTACCTGCTAAACTGTTGCTAGATAAACACAACTGCCAGTAAAGCCAGGCAGCACAAACCTGTCAGCACTGCCTCTTGCCAGGACAGCAGAGAAGGGGCAAGAGTTTGCAGGATCTATTGTTTCCACATACTTTTATTATTTATATACGCAGGCAGGTGAGTGTTTTTCCATGTCCTCATGTGGTAGCATGGATCTCTCTCAAGCTGACAATCCCCTTGGTCACCCTTGCTTACCCAGGGGTTCTCCTGAGTCCTCGGTCAGCAGAGCATTCTTCAGTGGCCTCAGATTGCAGGGCTTCTGCTCCTTTTTGGAGGCCTAGCTGGTAGCACTTTTTTTTTTTTTTTTTTGAAAGTAATGACGTAGCAGCAATTTCAGAAGCAGAATATGAGCGTCTTCCAAGCCATAATAATAGGCCAAATGGAGTTATTCTCTTTACAGGTTTTTGTTACTACTTCTCAAGGCAATTTAGCTGAAAGCCTCTCCTTTTGTAACACATCATTTGAACATGATATTTGCTCAAGATGGGATTCATCTCACCCAAAGGCAGAGGTTTAAGAGTTGGATGTGAAAGCTGCTCGCTGTTGGATGTCACTATAGTCGATGGGGCTGCTCCGGGGGTCTGATTCCTCTCACTTGCCTCAGACATCAGTAGTACACAGGGTGCGTGTTCTGTCTTTGCCTGGGCAATGTATCAGATGAGTGAATCCCACCTGCATTCCACAGGATGCAAGGCAAGGCACAGGGACTAAGCCAGGACTGGAGAACATTGCTCTGGCCCACTGTATACATCCTGCCACACTTTACTGTGTGTGGGCTGGAAGGGAGCCAAGCCTCACCTGGGCAGCTAGGACTGTGGGGTGCACGAGAGCACATACCTGTCCCACCGTCTATACCTATGGAGAGACCAGAGCGAACTGTCTCCCAGCTATCAGGTTAGCCCCCAGCTGCACTCGACAGTAATGAAAGCAGCTCAGGCCCTTGGAAATGCTACTGGTTTTTAGGCTTTCCTCTTGGCTGCTTTCTCTGTTCTGCCCTTAGCCTTCTGCTATACTGTTCTTACCAAGTGAGCTGGAGTCCTGTCTTGTTCCAAGTTCCTTTGGACTCTCTGGATGTCGTGAAGGGACTGCAAACCAGCTGCATCTACAATCTGAAAATTGTAGAAATGCTTGGCAAGGTCACAGCTGACTGGGAACCGCTGTGTGGATCCCTGCACCCTTCTCGCGGCCTGAGTGTGGGCAACACGCAATGTTCTCCAGCAATGCTCGGCTGGCACTGGGTCCCTAAATGGCTGCAGCCAGATGGTGGAAAACTGCGCAGCCCTAAGAGGGCTGTGAACTAGAGCACAATGGTGTAGATTTCTCCTACAGAACCGCACCTGTCCAGGGTCACGAGAAGAATGGTTTGGGTGGAAAGGACCTTTAAAGATCATCCAGTCCAACCCTCCTGCCGCAGACAGGGACATCTTTCAGTAGAGCAGGTTGCTTAAAGCCCGGTCCAACCTGGCCTTGAACACTTCCAGGGATGGGGCATCCACAGCTTCTCTGGGCAACATCTTCCAGTGTCTCACCACCTTCATCATAAAGAATTTCTTCCTTAAGTCCAATCTAAGTCTGCCCTCTTTCAGTTAAAAGTGTTGCCCCTTGTCCTGTCGCTATAGGTGCTGGTAAAAAGTGCCTCTCCATCTTTCTTATAAGCCCCCTTTATATATTGAAAGGCCACAATAAGGTCTTCTCTTCTCCAGGCTGAATGACCCCGA